AAGTTGCCCATCCCTGTCTACTCTGTGTATGGAAGGGGGGTGGGTGGGAATAATCCTTCCTGTAAAGATTTGTTCCCTCTTTTGAGCTACTGCATCCATAGGTGTAGGTGAAGCTCATCAAATTGTATTATATTTTAAGTAATATACTCTTGTACAGTGAATGAGATTTGCTAATAAGGCAACTTTCTTTTGCAGCCTGCAAACTTTCCTTACAGAGATGATATCATGTCAGTGAATCCTACCTGTCTGGTCCTCATTATTCTTCTGTTTATCAGCATTATCTTGACCTTTAAAGTAAGTGTGAAGATTTTTATTTCTGGTCTAAATATTGTTAGATGTATTTCCAAATGCTAGAATAAACCGATTTCAGACAGTTTTTTGTCTTACTTTAGATCAACTGAACTGCTTTTTTATTTTCTCCTAATTCCTTCTCTTACTGCATTAGAAATGGATACTAACCAGAATTCCACAAGGCAATCGAAGGTCCTTCTAAAATTTACTTGCATGGAAATATACTTGTTCATAATAAATTTTCTCTTCTTAAAACTGCATAGATTTGCATCTGCATCATATGCTGTGACAGCCATTAAAATCGCTGTATAAACATTCTTTTGTAATTTTCCCCCCGTTTTTTATTGTGGTAAAATATAACATAAAATTAAGCCATTTTAGGAGTTGTGGTGTGGTGCTATGGGCTAATGTGCCAGACCGCAAAGTCGTTTGAACTGCAAGGTCAGTGGTTCAAACTCACTGGCTGCCCCTTGGAAACCCACCCTGTACAGGGTCGCTATGGGTGAGAATCAACTCAACAGCACTTAACAACAACAAAGCCATTTTAACTACTTTTAAGCGTGCACTTCATTGTCATTAATTACATGTGCAATGTTGTTGACCTGTCAGCCCTGTCCCCCAAATTTTTGTTAACCCCAAATGACTCACTGTCCCTTCAGCAGTAAGTCTACACTCCCCAATGACCCATGTTTTGTTGTTAAGCGCCTTCCAGTCGCTTCTGACCCATAGCAACCCTGCATAGGGTTTCCAAGGAGTAGCTGGTGAGCTTGAACTGCCAACCTTGCAGTTCAAACCAACTACGAATGACCCCTAGACACCCTGGTAATCTGAAGTCTTCTGTCTGTTTCTATGCATTTGTCTATTGTAGACGTTTCATGGTAAGTGAAATCATACATATTTGTCCTTTACTGTCTGGCCTATTTCTTCCAGCAGAATGCTTTCAAGTTGAATCCATGTTGTGGTGTGTAGCAGAACTTCATTTCTTTTTATGGCTGAGTCATACTCTTGTACTTTGTTTTTTAAAATATAATGTCATTCTATTGTCTGAATTTCTATCATTCTGTTCTGAACACCATTCTTTGTCAACTATATATATGTTACGTTGTCCACCAGAGATTTATTGTTATTTAGTAAACTACCTGTTGGTGGACACCGACCTAGTTTTCATAAATTATCACTAAGGTGAGTTCACTTACTCTACATGCTTGTGCACTTACGTGTTTATTTCCTTAAGGTACGTTTTTTTTTTTTTTAAAAAAAGATAAAAGCATGTTTTGTATTTTTAAATTTTACTTTCCTATGAACTTTGTACAACTGCTTCTTGGTTAGCAGTTGTTCCAACAGAACATGGGAACACTGAAAGTTTTAAAATTGGGAAAGGTGTGAGACAGGGTTGTATTCTTTCACCATACTTATTCAACCTGTATGCTGAGCAAATAATACGAGAAGCTGGGTTCTATGAAGAAAAACGTGGCATCAGGATTGGAGGAAGACTCATTAACAACCTGCGATATGCAGATGATACAACCTTGATCACTGAAAGTGAAGAGGGCTTGAAACATTTACTTATGAAGATTAAAGAGCACAGCCTTCGATATGGATTGCATCTCAATGTCAAGAAAACAAAAATCCTCACCACTGGACCAATAAACAACATTCTTATCAATGGAGAAAGGATTGAAGTTGTCAAGGACTTCATTCTTCTTGGATCAACTATCAACACTCGTGGAAGTAGCAGTCAAGAGATCAGACGACGTATTGCACTGGGCAAATCTGCTGCACAGGAACTTTTTAAAGTATTGAAGAGCAGAGATGTCAGCTTGAGGACTAGGGTGCGCCTGACCCAGGCCATTGTGTTTTCAATAGCCTCATATGGATGCGAAAGCTGGACAGTGAATAAAGAGGATCGTAGAAGAATTGATGCCTTTGAGTTGTGGTGTTGGAGGAGAATACTGAGGGTGCCATGGACTGCCAAAAGAACCAATAGATCTGTTTTGGAAGAAGTGCAGCCAGAGTGCTCCTTGGAGACCAGGATGGCTAAGCTTCGTCTCTCCTACTTTGGACATGTAGTCCGGAGGAAACAATCGTTGGAGAAGGATGTCATGCTGGGTAGGGTGGAGGGTCAGAGAAAAAGAGGAAGACCTCCAACGAGATGGATCGGCCAGGTGGCATCATTGATGGATTCGGGGGTGGCAGTGGTGGTGAGGTTGGCCCAGGATCGAGCATTGTTTCGTTCTGCTGTGCATGGGGTCGCTATGAGTCGGTTCCGACTCGATGGCACCTGACAACAACAACAACAATGAACTTTGTACATCACTAGGGTGATGTACCACACCCTCAGTTGACTTTTTAAGTGTGTATTGAGTGAACATTTGCAAATAAGATCATCAACAAATCATACAACATATCATATACTTTATTTAGTCTCAATGATTACAAATAAGGTACATTTCTTAAAATCTTAACAATGTTAAAAGATTATAGAAACATCAAGTCGGACGTGGGGTGACCGAGCTACATGATTGGATGCCCAGAGAGCACAGGCAGATTTTCTCTTCCTGGTGGAGTGGTTACTAAGTGAGCCTACCAGGTGTTGTGGGGAGTCCTGAGAACACTGGCTAGAGGCCTGTGGAGCCCCAGTCATCAGGATCGTGTCCTTTGTTCACCACCAGAGTCGTTTTTGAAAAATTCTAGGGCTTCAAAAAAAAAAAAAAAAAGATGGACTATCATAATTGAGGTAGCTGAAAGTTTGAGTAAATTGATTGTAGTATGTATATTAAGAAACATTTCATCTTTCCTTCTCATTGGTCATGGTATCAGGTTGTTGCCCTTCAAAAAGCATTTTATGAAATAGCATACATTTTCATTTTATCAAAAAAAAATTTAAGTGTAAGAAAGTTACCAGCAAGTAAGAACACTGCTTAAGCCTACATGTGGAGTATAAGATAGTGTTTTGCTTTACTCTTATCACTCTAAAAAGAAACCCATTAGCAGACATTCCCCATTCACCCCATTTTCAGCCTCAACTAACCTAGTTTCTGTCTCTACTGATTTATCTACTGTGGACATTTCATATAAAAGGAATTCTGCAGTAGCTGTAGTTATGCTCTTTGATTAGTGATTTCATTTAGCTCAATGTTGTATTGCTATGATTTGTGTTTATGATTTTATGTGCTTTAGTAGGTTTTTGGGAGTGCAGTGACTCTGTAGGATAAGCACTGGACTACAAACTACCAGGTCGGGATTTCGAGCCCATCGGTCCACTCTGTGGGAACAAGACGAGGTTCTAGTCCTGCAAAGATTTACAGCCTCAGAAACTGGTGGGTTTGAACCACTGACTTTATTGTTAGCAGTCCAGTGCCAATTCTACTGTGCCACACCAGGACTCCAATATGCTTTTAATTTTCTGGCTTATATGCCTAGGAGTGGAATTGCTGGGTCATAAGAGAACTCTGTATTAACCTTTAGAGGAACTGCTGGACTGCTGTCCAAGTGGCAGTTCTATCGTCTTACAGTCTTAACCAGTAATGTACAAAGGTTCCAATTTCACCACAGTCTTTTAATTTCTTTTAATCAAAGTATTTTAAAGTTAAAAATAGATTTTGAAATCATTCCATTCTAATCCTGTTAAAAATGATTGGCATGAAAGTGTGAAGAATTCATCTTTTAAACATCTCCCATGAATTCATGCTTTATTTCTAGAATGTCTTTATGTTGGGCATTAATTTAAATAGTCTTCTTTGCAGTTATTAATTTTATTTAATTGTGAGAATGGAAATGTTTTGGTGAATTTTACTGACTGTGAAGCAAACTTATATTCTCTGAAGTTTTTTTTAATTGACTTGTCTAAGTCTTGGTGTGGCAATGTGGATAAATGTGCTGGACTGCAAAGTCCATTTGGACCACATGGTCAGTGGTTCCTCACCAGCCAGTCCTCAGGAATCCTATACAGGGTTGCTATGGGTCGGAATCGACTAATGGTACGTAATGAGAACAGCAACAATAGAATCGCAGGCTTTGTAGAATAAAAAGTCCCCAAAGAAGCAGGGTTAAAACATGGTGATAAATGGGGTTTATATTGGATTATTCATAATGTGTACAGGGGTGGAACAATTAACATTTGTGGCAATTGCTCATTCCAAATACCTTTTCTTAGGAATCTGTTCTATATTCAGTCCCTCCCATCCTCAAATCTACCACTACCACCACCTTTTTGATTTAGGATAAAATAAGGCTACCACCCTTTACCAGATAATTCCTATACCCAACATTTATCATTTTAAATGCTTTTGGTTTAGTATCTTGTTAGTAAAGTGCTTTTAAGTCAGTTCCTCGTCAAAGTGACCCTGTGAAGGGTTTCTGAGGAGTAGCTGTTGGATTTGAACTGCTAAGGTTAGTAGACCAGTGCTTATCCTGCAGTGTGCCACACTAGGAGTCTTTGGTTTAATATGTTGTTAAGTGCTATTGAGTCGGTTCTGACTCATAGCAGCAAACCTGTATAAGGTTTTCAAGGAGCAGCTGGTGGGTTTGAATGCTGACCTTACAGTTCAAGCTGACCTTGCGATGCAGTGCTTTATCTGTAGTCCCGTACCAGGACTCCTTGGTTTCGTATAGTAGTGGCGGTGGTATTAGCGTACTGTGGAATCAGTTCCGACTCATAGCACCCTTCATAGGGTTTCCGAGGCTGTAAATCTTTATGGGGGCAGAAAGCATCATCTTTTCCTGCAGAATGGCTGGTAGTTTCGAACTGCTGACCTTGTGGTTAGCAGCCTGACTCTGAACAACTAAGCTACCAGATTGTATGTAAATATGTGGGAATACTGGTGTGGTACTGTGGGCTATGCAAAGTAATTTGAGTTGCAGAGTTTCAGTTCAGGGTCACCAGGCACTCCTCACAAACCCTACAGGGTCTCTATGGGTCGGAACTGACTCAAGGGCTTAAAGACAGCAATGATAAAGATATGTAAGGTATGTAAATAAAACTTTTATAATGTGGCTCTATCTATGATGTTTTAAATAGTTTAATGTTTGGAGATTAAAAAATCTTTACATCACTATTCACCTTTCAGGGTTACCTGATTAGCTGTGTGTGGAACTGCTACCGATACATCAATGGAAGAAACTCCTCTGATGTCCTGGTTTATGTTACCAGCAATGACACTACGGTAGGTCTGACACCCACTTGGATGGGCTCAGAATGCTTCTTGTTTTTCCTCCTTTTGTTTGACCTAAACTGCTGAAGGAAAGGATTCATTATTGAGCAAAATGGGTTTCATTTTCCTTAGAGGATATTGAAATCCAGATAATATAATTTCTCATTTATTTA